CATCCATTACATATGAAAAAGAACATACCATTTACAATGCTCTTTCGAGCAATTAAGTATTGTTCTACATTTCAAACATATTTGGATGAACGCGAGAAATTAAGAATGGCCTTATTACTTAATAGATACCCGAATAAAATTATTGAACAACAGTTTAATAATGTTCTATTAAGATTCAATATTGATCAGCCATTGACTACTATTAATTATGATAAATATCGACAGAATGTGTTAGATTCACCTTATATAAAACCTATAGGAATTGATTATGATAAAGTTATGTTTATTCATTTTACTTATTGTTCAAGTATGAAAGGATTTCCTTTGAAATTCCATACAATATGGAATAAATATTTTGGTGAATCTCCGATTAATGAAATTCGACCCATACTTGGTACCCGTAATGTTAAAAATTTACAGAGACGACTAACAAATATTATTTAAATGACATATATATGATTCAGTTATGCATATTTAAAGAAATTATTAAATATTCGATGTTAAAAATTATCTGTCAATTAAACGTCGAGTTATCCAATATATTAAAAAATTGTTTAAAAATTTATATGGTTAATGGGTATGGTATATGATACATATGGATATATGGAATACAAGTTTAATTTAAATTCGCACCACACGACCTATGCTTTACCACCCATGTTACATTTGAAAAAAAATTTTTAAATTGCATAATATCTCTATTATTTATATTTTCATAAACAAATAAGAGATATTATGCTTTTGGTATATTCTTATCTTCAAAGACAAATAAATGATATTATGTTTTTGTGTTACCAATCAATTCCATCAAGCAAAATTTATTGATCAATCAATTATCTATTTAACTTATTGATCATTAATTATTAATGAAAAAAGATGATGAAAAAACCATCTTTGGATCACTTTTTGAATGTATATCATTTGAAGATAAATATTCTGATATTAAACCTTATTTTATCTGATCAGCATTTAAACTTAAAGAAAAACATTCTTCTTAACTATTAGATAAAATCAGCGTAGTATGAAGTGGTTGTTCAACAGCTACGTGACTTTATGTCTTATGTCTATATCAGTATAACAAAACTTATATATGTTTGTATGAATTTATTATTATTATTAACTGATATTAATGGACTTTATATTGAACTTGCAATAAGAAACTTATAATTTTATTTCATTAACATTTAAGCTAAAAGAAAAACGACAAGAATTAGCTAATAAACTTTTAGCAATATTTAATCAGATGTTTTTCTTCCCAACTTCAAGATGTTTTTCTTCCCAACTACCAGATAAAATCAGTGTAATATGGAGTGGTCGTTTAATAGCTACGGCTGGCCATTGTACCACTCGACGAACAACACGTACCGCTGTAATTACACTTTCACATAAAGTTAGCGATTCACTTGAATATTGCGGTGATACTCTTTTACATGAAATGTGTCATGCAGCTGTGGTTTTAACTGATGGTGTTATGGAACATGGTCAATGCTAAACGATATCTCCAGAGACAAATTAGTGATTTAAGAATCCTAATTTTTGTTGTGTGTTTTTTTATGTTTTATTATGTTTTTTTATGTTTTCTTATGTTTAATTTTTATTTTTTTCTGATTTTGTTGTGCCTCTTACTTTTTAATTTCTATCTCTAAAATTAGTTTTTGGTTTTTGCTTTTAATGTAATGCAGAGCCCTGATGAGTGTTTCATTATTTCAATAAAATAAACATGAAACGCGTCGGCGAAATTAAACTCTGCATTCTCTTTTTATTATTTCATAAAGCACGAATATTCAAATCTTCAAATTAAATACGACTTCATCGGTTGCTGAGAAGCAAGAGTTGAGACTAGCAGATTGATTTGTATCTGAGAGATATAGATTGATCTGTTTCTATTTGAATTAGTGGTCTTAAAATTGAAACAATAATAAGATTGAGTCGATTTGTAATGAAAAATAATTATTTTTCTTACGATGGCCAATTTTATCATCAAATTCGTGGAGGAGCAATGGGTTCTCCACTTACACTTACTGTTGCTAATTGTTATATGTTCTTTTATGAACAACAAATTATAAAACAAATTAACAACAGTGGCGGATTATATTTTAGATATATTGATGATATGTTTATAGCAATTAATTGGCCTGCTCGACATTTATTTAAACAAATTGATAGATGGAATCATTTTGATGAAAATATTAAACTATCAGAAAATATTGGTTCAACAGCTGATTTTCTTGATTTACATATGGAAAACCAGGATGGTCAGTTAATTACGACTGTTTATCAGAAGCCATCTTATGAACCGTATTATTTGCCGTTCAATAGTGTACATCCATTACATATGAAAAAGAATATAATTTTTACTATGCTTCTTCGTATTATTAGATACTGTTCAACCTTTCAAGCTTATTTAGATGAGCGCGAAAGATTAAGACTGGCATTATTATTCAATAAATATCCTAATAAAATTATTGAAGAATGTTTTAATTTTCTATTATTGAAATATAAAATTGATCAACCACTAAATTTTAACAATTATAATTTAATTCGTCAAAAAATTATAGAAACACCTATAAAAGAAAAAATACCAGTGGACTATGGTAAGACAATGTTTATTCATTTTACTTATTGTTCAAGTATGAAAACATTTCCAAAAAAATTTCATGCCCTTTGGGATAAATATTTTGGTGAATCTCCGATTAATGAGGTCTTACCCGTTCTTGGTACACGTAATGTTAAAAATTTACAAAGGCAATTAACCTACACAAGATAAATTAACCTACACAAGATAAATTGAACGTTTATTAATATAACTTGTTAGGTGTTATACCTATTGTATGGAAGATGACCGAAATGAATTTCTACCTTCAATGTGTAGACTTTAACTTTGACTTCCTGGGTAATATCTTTAAAGATAAAGAAACGATATTATGTTTTATGCCTCACATCTTTAAAGACAAATAAGCGAATTACTGAATATTCTATATTGGAAACTACCCGTTAACTAAACGTCGAGTTATTCAATATATTAAAAAATTATTACTAAATATTCTATGTTGGAAATCGCCCGTTAATTAAACGTTGAGTTACTCAATATACTGGGAATCACCCGTCAACTAAACGTCGAGTTCTAATATTTCATCAAATAGAATTTATTGAAAGAATTGAATCACTGATAATTTATATCCTAATGTGGTTCAGTCAACATTCGATGTTTAAAATTATTTGAAAACTAAATAACAATTGCAAATGAAAGATAATGGAAGATAATGATATTGAAACTAGATAATTGGAAATGGAAGACAATGATCAAGTAGTTTACCATCACATATACGTACTAATATATCGACAACAACAATTATAATTAGTTGTTAGTTATAATATCTTCAGTTTATGGCGTCAATGGACACGTATGATTGAACGATGTCATCCTTATTTACCATTAGTTTCAGTATTTTTATTCCATCAACATTTCAAACTTAAAGAAAAACGACAAGAATTAGCTAATAAACTTTTAGCAATATTTAATCAAGATGTTGTTTCTTCTCAACTATCAGATAAAATCAGTGTAATATGGAGTGGTCGTTTAATAGCTACGGCTGGTCATTGTACAACTCGACGAACAACACGTACTGCTGTAATTACACTTTCATATATTTTATGTTTAACTTTTTTATGTTTAATTTTCATTTTATTCTGATTTTGTCGTGCCTCTTAATTTTTAATTTTTATCTTTAAAATTAGTTTTTGATTTTTGCTTTCAATGTAATGCAGAGCCCTGATGACTGTTTCATTATATCAATAAAATAAACATGAAACGCGTCGGCGAAATTAAACTCTGCATTCTCTTTTTATTATTTCATAAAGCACGAATATTCAAATCTTCAAATTAAATACGACTTCATCGGTTGCTGAAAAGCAAGAGTTGAGACTAGCAGATTGATTTGTATCTGAGAGATATAGATTGATCTGTTTCTATTTGATTTACGTACACGTACTAATATAATTGTTGATTATCAACCAATTCCATCAAGTAAAATTTATTGATCAATCAATTATTTATTTCACTTGGTGTTTTACAGTTGATTTATTACAAACGGTCCTTAAATGATATTTTTCCCATCGTATGGGAGACGACCGAAATCAATCTATTCTGTTGTCTATACTACTTAGAGGTCTATCTGCCTCTATATATTAGAATTATCTGAAGATATAGATTGTTTATACTTATGTAATCAAAAGTTTAATACGACTTCATCAGTTGCTGAAAAGAAAGAGTTGAGACTAACAGATTGATTTGTATCTGAGGGATATAGATTGATCTGTTTCTATTTGATTTAAAATCTGATATTAATATATATCAGCCACTGAATATCCTACACTACGTCGTCCTGGACCAGATACATATATTCAAACACGTTCAGTTGCTGTAGGATGAGATATATAGGATGAGATATATATGTTGGGTAAATTTAAAAATTTATTATTTATTATTAACTGATATTAATGGACTTTATATTGAACTGATATTAATGGACTTTATATTGAACTCCCAACTTGGATATTGCATGAATGTACGATGATGGCCCTTTGTAGACAATAATAATTAATTGATACACTTTCTCATCAAGCAAAATTTATTGATCAATCAAATCCCCTCTTTTTTTATTATGAGGAATCAGTGAAAAATCAATGTATTAACAGCATGATTAATGCTCTTATTTTCATGTTACACTTTTAGTATATTGGCTTCTCATTGTTTATTTGTTGCAATATATTTTTTCTATGTGTATATTTTGTTGCCATTACGCACACGTACTAATATATTAAAAACACTATAATATGTTTGTGACCTGTAATTTTAGAGTTTATTGTATTTCTTGTGTAGTATTAACAGTATTAGCTTCAAAGTTTATTATATTGCGTGGCATTTTATGTTGTGTTTTTGTAATGCAGAGCCCTGATGAGTGTTTCATTATTTCAATAAAATAAACATGAAACGCGTCGGCGAAAATAAACTCTGCATTCTCTTTTAATTATTTCATAAAGCACGTATACTCAATTTGTCAAATTAATTGCGACTACATCGATTGCTGAAAAGTAAGAGTTGAGACTAGCAGATTGATTTGTATCTGAGAGATATAGATTGATCTGTTTCTATTTGATTTAAGCAACTATTGTATGTGAAAAAATAAATAATAACGAAAAAATAAATAATAATAATAAAAAATCAACTACAACAACAGCTGCACCAGCAACAAGTCCAACAACAGCAGCACCAACTACAGCTACGACAACAAATACTCTTAAAAATCAAGTTCGTGAGCCTATAGAAAAATTAGAAAAATATATATTAAAATACGTTTATACATACACACAACATGTGAAAAAAATAGCCGAAACTAAAGTTCAATTAGCCAAAGCTCAATCAGATGAATTTAAAGCTTTAGAAGAATTTGAACAAATAGCTACTCCATCTCAATGGAATATTCATTTAGCTTTAAAACCTAGAATAAAACTTTGGTCAACCAAAAATAAAAATTACTTGGCTGCTCTTAAACGTGTTGAATATGATATGCCTCCAAAATTTATTGAAAAAGTTGATTTATCATT